GGCATGCTCTACCATCCTATGACATGCATGCATAACCATGACTAATCACACCCTACCATACTAACCATTATTGTAAAGGGCATTGAATGGCTGCAACCTTGAGGTGACATGAACAACAAAAATATCAAGAGAAGTCAAGATTAAATTCCAAGAATATGTTGGATTAAGGTCTTTATTTGATGTCCGACCTATTAGGACCTCATTCAAGCTATAATAAACATTATTAAGCCCTTAATTAAGAGAGAACATTTTTGGGATCATATAATGGGGCCAAAATTAGAAGGGAGATCCCAATTTTCTGAGATTTTTAATGGCAAACACAACTACAAGTTGCATAAACCAATTACATAAAAAGCCTAATCACAAACAGAGAGTGTGTGGCTGCAGTTGCAGGCATGTACATGGGTATAGGTCAGTGATTACCATGTGAGCAAGCATTTGTGTGTGTGTGTGTGTGTGTGTGAGAGAGAGAGAGAGAGAGAGGAGCATCATGAACCTGTTATCAACAGAAATAGCATAATTGTTCAAAGCAAGTGCGCATGAAGCCGACTGCACAAATAGGATACTTGCAAGTTATAACATTATTAAGGAGAAACTTGAAACCCAGATAACAGGCATCACTAAATTAAATAAAAGAAGGACTGAAGAAAAAATAAGCCCATAATAAAGTGCTAGACCAACTCAAGTGCCTACACCATAAAGAAAAGTATACCTGACTATGATAATGAATAGTATTTGCACTAATCACAAGAACACCTCCAATTGGCGACGGAACTGCAAGCAGCTTGTAAGCATCATGAGGAAGATTCTGAAAAGAAAAAAGATATCAATAATCATACAAATGGCTTTTGGAAGGACTATGTACAAATCTCATGCACAACAAAATGCAAAATTTCAGTATTTCAGAATTTTTACACTTAGGATAAATCTCATAATTGTGTTATTACAGATTAGCACAGAGAAGTTCACCCCACACTTTTAATAGTATCCACTGGCAATAATTGCAGTAATAAAAGTTTTTTCAGCTGATCTGGAAGTTTTCACGTTTTAAGGAAGTTTGCATCAACCTCAACTGTTTTGAAATGAAAAGCCGCAGAGAAGATAGTCAATCAGAGCATCCACTTCTACCTAGGGAACATATCCAGTGGCCACGAGTCTTTTTTTTTTTCTTTTATCAGAGGGGGAGGAAAAAGGAAATTGATTTATATAAACTTCATATGAATTTGTTATCAAGAATCAATAGCAAAATCTAAACTCCATGGTAAATACAGATGCGTGAACTTACTATTAACAGCTCTTAGCTCAATTAAGATAGCAAGGATTCACAACAGCAAAGGCTTTTGGAAGAGACTATTCGATAGAAAACTATCTTAGTCAATTTTGACTTTTTAGCTTAGGGTCCACAAAATATAACAAAGAATTTCTGTTAATAGTTATAAAATATTTACAGATGGACCTAATCATGTTGAGAACATACAACTGCTGACCATATGAGAGGATGCTGCTTCAAGGTTGTGCTAATACTAAGTGCAGAAATCATGCAAGTATGGTGCTTCCAAGAGACTCGCCCAGCCCACGTAAGCTCCCGCTCATGAAGGATAACCATCACCGGCTCAATATACCCTAGATGATACATAATTAAATGTAAGAAAAGATCAAGGAAACAAATAGGGGCTCAAATAAAAATAAAAAACAAAACCAAACAAAAATATAAGAAGCAATTAGTCAAAGCCACATCAGTTGTATCAAAAATGACCAAAAGCCTTTCACCTATGACGTTATGAAAAAATAAAATGAATTCTAGCAAGTCTTCTGAGCAACAGAATTTCAATAGCCAATATAAGAAAGTGACAGTCTAACAAAGACTGCAAAATAATTCAATTTAACTACAATCCAACAGGGACAACATGCTCCACATGGAGAGTTCCCAAATTCCAAACTACTAACTGATTTTTTGCAAATTTAAACCAACAACAGGAACAGTAACTTGTTACAGTTCAAGTACTTCCAATACAAATCATAAAACCAATAAGACATAGTTGGTCAAACTTACCATGCACAAATATAAAATCTTTAATGTGCTTCACGTCCAAATCTCGTAAATTGATAATGGAAGATGACTCAACATGAGCAGCAACTGCACCTCCAGATCCAAATGCATCATCCTCTCCCACAAATCCAGAACCAGCCTGACAAATAAAGATCCAATATAAAAGATTTAAAAAAAAAAACAAAGGGCTTCTTAAGAATGCTTAATACCATTTAACATCAGCAACCACAAAAGCCCTCCCATTTCATGAGAATTTGAATTTTAAAATATTGTTTGTTGTGATTTTAGATGTATAACTGTAAGATTTTCCAACAATTTAAATAACTTTTTTCAGAATTTAATTAGAATTCATATCTTTTACCAAAATTTTTTTTTTTTGAAAAGAATGATACTAGCTTTTTTCTTGTCCAGGCTAGCCAACAATTCAAATGTTATTATATTTTGTATTATGGGAGTGAATTCTTGTTAAAGCATGATGATAGGCACCAGTACTCCTCATCCACAAAAGCAGGAATCAGTACATGCACGACTTCTAGGAATATAGCGTCTGTGAAATTATTATTCTCAAGATGCTATCAAACAAACAGCAAAACTTTTGCTATCCTTTAGAAATCAACAATTGACATTGTAAAAACTCACACTAATAAATGCACAAACCAGATAAAAGGAAATTTGAGAGAGATACTCATTGTTCTAGCATTTTCTCCCTTCACATGAGAAGTCTGTTCTTAGCGTTATTAGACATAGAGAAAGTGAACTATGATAAATTCAAAAGGACAGGAAGCAACAGAGACCTGAGAAGCTTTAAGTATTATCATTTGCAAATCATAAACAAGAACGCCGCCACACCTGCCTTGAGGATCAACCTTTACCAGTGGCCCTCTAGCAAATGATTCTCTCCCTCTTTTCAAATGAAGCCACTCCAGGCCCTCAAAGCAGTGCATTGAGCTGGAAAAGGAATCACCAGCAATGGGCAAGTATCAACTTCCAAATATAGGAAACAGACCATCAAACAAAAAAGTAGTTTTGAGATAAGAAATTTAAAAACTGGGAGTGTGACAAAGCTTCCACATATCAGAATGGGTAAGAATAGCACTTTTCAACATATATCCTTACGTTGTTCGAAGACCATGGATGGAATCATCAAACTCCAGGACCGAAATTTTCGCATCTTGAAAGGCTAAGATAATTGAATCTCTCCTCCTAGAGCCATCACCACCTCCTATAGATAGCACCGCCATAGATTCAACATTACCATGTAACCTGCAACAGAATTTAAAACAAAAAATACCAAAGAGAAGCACAGCAGGTCAGAAACCAAGCAAGAACATTCCAAAACAACATGGAAAGAGAAAGAAGGGAAAATTTTAAAGCTCCAGTTAGTTGGTACTTTCATCACTTACTTTTAGCGGTAAGGCAAAAGCAAAACCATGTTGATCAAAAATGAAAAGTATATGGCTAACGAATGACACTGATTCAAACATAACGGTTCTATGTAGAAGTAAAATTATATGCTTTTTCAACAATCCATGAAATTCAAATTTTTAAATTTTTTTCATTCTTAAAAAATTGCTGTTAGCTTCTGAAACCAAAAGACAAAAGTAGCAAAAATAATAACCAAACAGCACACAATAACTGCAATCCGCCACTTATCCAAATCATTGTCACTAAGCAAACTAACACCTACACTCGAAAAAAACAAGGACAAGAGAGAGGGGAAAAATTAGTACTACTAAGAAAAAGAAAAGGTTGACCCTATAGATATAGGCATATAGAATTTGCATATATTTTTAAAGGTTTTATGGATTTGGAGCCAAACCTATAACTGCAAACGAGCTCGAGAGAAACCCCGGAGACCCCATCCAAAACCACGGCGCGCTTGACTTCCGTGGAGTTTCTGGCTTCCCTTCTGCCCTCTTCTTGAACCCTGACCACATATATTTCGAGAAGGTTAGCAGCGGTGACGATGAGGTTCGGAACGGGACCAATGCCACGCCTAGCAGGCCATTCAGATTCGAGATCTTCGGTTTGGTTGAGCGGAATTTGAGGCGTGAAATCCGCACGGCAGTGGGTGACGAAGCCAGAGGCGCAGTTCTCGATTCCGGTGGGCCAGTGCATCATCTTGTAGGCCGCGTAGCTCATTCTCAGTGTCGAAGGGTCTAGGGTTTTGGGATTGGAGAAAAAGAAGAGAAACGGATATTGCAAAATAGACAAGGCAGTCGGGGTTAGGGTTTTGGGAGTGAGGAGGGAAAGAGAAGAGTGAACTTAAACCCTCTCGTTGGTTTGGGTTTGGCGGGAGGTACCACTCTGCTCAGTTCTCGGAATATTTATTTTACTACCTGTTATTTAATGAAAGGCGGGGAAAAAACATCTAAGGAAAAGAAAATGGCTAGTCGGTAACGGAAAACAACTCTGTGAATAATGGATGGTGAACCTGCATAAAATCTTTTCGGGTTTTTTTTTTTTTTTTTTGGAAAAGATTTCGCTTTATTTCATTGCGCCTGAAGGGCCAAGGCTACATCATTAAGTTGAAAATTGATTATTCAACTATTCTACTGGGTAGTAGGCACACGTTATGAGATTAATACGCTTATAAAACAAATATCCTGTGTATGGCATTAATTTTAGTACTATTTTTTTAGCCCGATTCAATAAAAAATCATAAGAAAATCATAATTAAGGTTTAAAATTCAATCCTCCTTTTATCTTTACCTTTCTTTGACCTATTGAATTTTAAAAATAAAATAAGCTGTAGAGGAAAAAGAAAAACAAATGGAGTAGAGTTACAAGATGCATCATAGTTTAACCCCAAATGTTATCTTTTAAAAGGATAAGAAGTAACCATGACTAAACTGGATTCACCTCCATTGATACCAGAAATGTCTCCCAGTCATTCGAATTAGTTGAGAAAAGAGAAGGTTGTGGATACAATCCACTTGTAACACAAAGATGAAGATCTAACTCAAGCAAATTGGAGAAGCAGCAAGAAAATGCATCATTGCTGCAGACAGTTTACGCGTTCATGAGAAAAAATAAAGCTCTAACATTTCTAGTTAATTCCCCAAAAACAAAAAGGTATTGATGTTGGAACTTTGAACCACTAATGAGGGCAGAAAACCATCATAAGTTACATTACTTGCTCCACCAAGAAGTATCTACCATTTGGAACATGTCTCATAGCTGGTACAAACTTGAAAAATTCAGAAAAACTTTTAACCGCCTACTTATAATTCAAGACAATATCCTCGTTAATCTGCATGAAATAAACAAAAACATGTCAATGCCAACGCTGCTAAGACTCTTGCTCAATGATTAAAAAGAGATGTCTTTAAACTTACATATTTTCTAAGGTCTTTGGCTTTCTCATCATTAAAACCTAAAGTGGCCAAGATCATGTAGCCTGCTGATTCTTTTTCTGACCAAATACCAAGGAGCAAGTAAGTTGTGGTTATTTCTCCACTTTCACCTGCACTTGCCACAATGATCTCAATTAGATATGAAGGTGTAACAGTTCAACGATGATGAGATAATGGCCAGATTGAAATAAGGAATAACATAATGAAAAAAAAAAAAAACCTACGTTATTCACTACAGCCTACTCCGTTCATACCGAATCTCAAACATTTAGAAATATGGAGCAAGGAGGAAAAAGAAGCTGTTGAAGAAATATGGAGTTTGGCATAGGTAAATGTTAGCTCCTGTAGAGATCTTATGAAGGCTGATAGGGTAGTTTAGTGTTTAACTGCTTCACATGATTTTAAACTTGTACATCATGAACTTCAAAATTAACACAAGCCAATTCACTCATACACATCATGCAAAACGATACAAAAGGGCAAGTGCCGTCCTTATATTTTAATATTAGAACAGTCATTAAACTTAAGAATCATAGTCTGCGTACTTTTGAGATTTAGATTCCACTCAACTGTCAGGAAATCAGTAAACATGAAGTGCAGGTCATTTGTCTTGCTTGATTAATTTTTGCAACCTGGTAACTTCCTTAAAAGGGAACTCTAAATTTATTGCATCCTCCTCATTTCTGATAATGTCAAAAACCATAGTTATGAAGGACAAACTGACTGCTTTGGAACCCAAGATCTAGAACTCCCACCTCCATATTTAATTAGCAGCGACTAATATTCCACTTAATCGCACAAGATTTGTTGATTTAAAAGTTACATTTTAGCTTTAATCTTCAAATCAGTCTTCAAAGCTTCCATCAATTCAACATAAATCCCCATTAAACCAATTGCCTTTGAAAGTTGAAAAATAACTACTACAAGAATTTGATCAACTCCACGCCAAAATTTTGCCAGGTGTTTAACCATAATAAATTTGCATTTATCAAGCTACACCGTGTGTCCATGCCTATCATAACATATATTACATAACCAACTCAACTACCGTCTAAAATTCTGTATAGCATAATAAATGTAACAAATGAAGAATCAGGAAAATCATTTTACCTGACTTTAGTTTTTCATCAACTGCCCAATCCAGGGCCCTTTGAGCTTGTTCAGTCAATGGAGGATGTTCAGGACTGAAAAAATACATATCCGACTTTCCAAGTAAGTTCACTGTTTCCTCTCGCACCTTGAAAAGCGTGATTCCATTAGCCCTCAAAAATTTTGCGGCTTGGCTTGTTCCTGTACATGAAAAAGTGGCATTTCAGACATACACCAGGTAAAAGAGCATATCACAAACATTAGAAAAGTTATCAAATACCAAAGAGTTTAAAGAAGAGACTGTCTGACATCATCTTTTAAGTTTACAAATAATACATGTTTTTAGTCTATATTAACTCATTTACAATATATCTTTCTTTTCTACAGATGGCAACTGGGGTGGATTTATCTTGCTTTAAGCAGAATATCAAGTTACATTCCCCAACATAATTTTACACCTCTTACCTACTTCCTTAGCTTTAAGAGCACAGGTTATTTATATAGAAGTTTCTGTTTCACAGTGCATACCGTGATGATCCAAAACAAATTAAGAACCCATAAGTGTGCATAATAAATTCATCATACAATGACTTGAAGATAATAGAAACAATAACATATAAGGAAAAGTAATCTGAGCATTTAATCTGCAGACAAATGATGCTTGGTCCCAGAATTTCTGGAAAATTCGGCATCAATAATCAACACTGCATTAGTGAAAGACTGAGAATGCTTGTCTCTTACCATTGCTAATCAAATTGGGGATGTAACTGTTAAAATTATTCAAAATAGAGTCCACCTAACTCACCTTCTCACTTATGTACAATCTTATGGGAACCAATTACAAATAGGGCTGCTATGAAGCCACACTTCTTCAGCAAAAGTCCCAAAGGAAACAGGTTTTCTTAGAAATCCACAAGAAACTTTTCTAAAGAACTTTTTTATTTGTGTTATATGATACTGCAACAGCAAGTAGTGAGCTAAAAGAGCAAAAGAAAATACTAACCCTCGACCAGAATTCCCATAAGAAGCGCTTCGGTTCCGGTATTTGGATACTTGAGCTTCCTTGCCTCCAATTCCGCCATTGCAAAGGACTTTATCGATCTTGCCGACCATCTAACCACCACAATGACCCAATTCCAAACAATTATTCACAAACAGAAGCCTAACCATCAATACAATACAGAATCTCGCTTAATCCCCAAATATACGCGTATATATACATGTGCAATACGTTTACATACGTATTTGAGCATATTATTCGACAGTACTATTAACTCACTTAGGGGATTTCTCGGAAGGTGCTCTCTCCGGTTTCCTGCAAAAAAATCAAGAAAAAGAAAGGGTTTAAATAATGGGTAATTCTCGAATTTATCCGAAATAATAATAAGTAAAATTGCAGAAATCTACTACAAACTTACGCAGTAGGGAGGCTGAAAGACACCGTGGCGGTGGTTGAGGAATGGTGCTTGGTAACGAAAAGGCTCAAATCGGAAATTTTAAGCAAAAGCTTGTTGCCATAGAGAGAGCTCAGAGGAAGGGATAGACGAAAATCGTGGCGTTTAGAAGGGAGAGACTGGCTAGTGGAAATCGAAATCGGGAGAAACGAGAGCCTGTGGGTAGCCATTTAACGGGAAACAAGAAACAGATAATGGAGATTTTGAAGAGAAACGAAAATAGTTTATGAATTCATGGTAGTTTATAAATTTGGTTTTGAGTGGCGTCTCAGACTCTCGCGCAGACTCTCGGCTGAGACAAGTGAGCACTCACTTTCACGGTGCAGATAGATAGAGCCGTGGAGATGGACGTTGAGTCTGGAAATTTGCCTTTCGGAGGTTGGGGGCTAAGGGGAAAGAAAATCGAAAGAAAGTTATTGTAATGGCCTGCGAAGTCCTTTGTGACCCAATGGAGTGAGTTAGTCTATGAAGCTCTTGGGCCCATTTCCATATCACTCGGCCCATACGTCAAATTGGGGCCTACTGACTTTTCTTCGCGTGCGCAGATGGATTTGGATAGATTAAGTTTCAAAAAGATTTGAATTTAAAAGTCTCATAAATTAGTGAAATTTTTTAAATAATTTTTATTTTTTATTTTATTTAATTAAAGTTTTATTTTTATTAATTATCATTAATTAAAATAATATTTATCATTTAATATATCACACAACATTGATGTAAATGTAAAAATATCATCTACTAAATCAAGCTAAAATGCCATGTCAACACTATATAATATAAAATAAAAAGTAATATTTTTAATAAAAGTTAATCGATTGTTAGTATTAAATAATTATTTAATTTAAAATAAAATTATAATTTTTTTAAAAAATAAAAACTTATTTAAATTTTTTTAAATAATTAGGAAATTTTTTGATATAAAATCTAAAAAAGCACCTAAATTATTCTTAAAAATTTAATTTTTTTTATCTTTAATCAAATAAGCTCTTATGATTAATAATTAACTTAATTAAAATATTATTTTTAATTTTATATCACATAGCACTTACGTAACATGTCATAATTAATGATAAAACAACATATTGATATATTATAATTAATGATAATATGACATGCTAATGTAATATGATAACTTGATAATGTGATATTTTTTACTCTTCACATCTATGTCATATCAATGTCATATTGATATAAAATAATAAATAACATTTTAACTAACAGCTATAAATATTTTATTAAAAATAAAAATATATGAATTTGATTGAACATAATAAAAATATATAAATTTATTTAAATTTTTTAAATAATTTATAAGTATTATTTGAATATTATATTTAATAATTTTTAAATATTAGGTTAAATATTTTGAATTAAGTGAAGTATTATATTATTTAATGAATCAAAAAACCAAAATTCAATCTAATTGCATTAAAACTCAAAGCAAAACATCTATTACTGTTCTACAGGAAAAATTCTATTCTTCTTTCTTTTCTTGTTTGGACACGTATACTATTACAGTAGTTATAGGTGCGTTAATATGCAATTCTTGTTGTTTCTCTTTTCCTTTTTTTTTCTATTTTTTCCTCAATTTATTTTTACTAATATTTATAATCACATGTATTGATATTTGTTTTTTATTATTTTGAAATAATAATTATGTATAAAATGCAAAATTAAGTGTTCATAAATAAAAAAATTATATATAAAAAATTTGTCTTTTGAAAAGCAATTATATATAAAAGATGATAATGTGTGGAGATATTTTTCAGAGAATGAACCATTTTATCCGCCTCTGTACTTGCAAATTCTATATTTAAAGAACTGTTAACTCCACGTTTGATTGTTTAATCTAATTGAAGGTTTTTTTAACGACATATGCGGTATTTATTAAAGTGTCATTATAAAAAAAATACTAGTACTAATTTTACATTCCTTAAACCATTCTTATTAAAATGAAGAGGGATTAGACATTATTCCAACTAATATGCCCCTAACAAAGTACTTCTAAAATTGTACCAAAAAAAGAAAATACTACTTCTGAAAGCTTTTTTTTTTTAATTATTATCATTATCCAATAAGAAAAAGGTGTAAGAGAAATGCGCTGATCATTTGTTTTATCTTATTGCGAGTTGTATTTCATGCAATGTAATGACAGGCAATAACTATATTACTACAATTGGTCAATATATCAAAACCCCCTTTGAGTAATTAAATAGAAACACAAGATAGAAAGAAAAAATATTGAGTTTGAATACCTCCATAGTATAAATGGTAAGAAAATTTACTTCTTTTATATGACTAAAGAGATAAAATAAGAATTATTTCGACGAGGAATCATTGAAAATCTTTTTATACTGTTTGATAATATCATAAATTTTGAATTATTAATTTAAATGTTATGAACCGTAGTTAAGGAGGTAAGGTAAGTTTTTCTTTATTGAGTTAAAAGACGAAGAAATAATTATGTTGGCAAAATCGAAACGTGTAGTGTGGGATATTTGTTAAGGATAAATTTTTACTTTGGAAATCCTCGTAAATTTGTACAGATTTTTTTTTTTGACCTTTGTTCAGTAATTTTTGAGGGTAACTGTTTCGTCCTTTTAGATAATTTCAACGCTCCGGCCAATACTTGCCCTTGGTCAGACAAAGGTCGGCCATTATTAGTGTGGAGCGGCACTTTTCAATGAAGGCCCATTTTAGCGGCTCTTTCAATCTACATCTGTCACCCTAAAAGCCGTGTGGAGCCCACACGCCACCGTTTTCACAACTATTATACACAAATGGCACAAGACAAGATCCATTGAGAGAGAGAGACAAAAAAGCGTCAATTGCAAATTACGGAACAACCCTCTTAAAACTATCGTTACGGGTTGATTTTTACTAAGCGGGAATTTTGAAATAATTAAGGATGAGGTTTCTAGTCCAAAATTGGTTTTTGAAATATCCCAATATCAAGGATTTAAATTATGTACCGCAATTTCAGCAAATTCAAATTCTATATTTATATTAAATATTTGATTAAGGATAGTATTTACCGTTGTAATATTCAATCATTAAATTTATTGACAAGGGATTATTTTGGCTAAATGGATTTTTTTGCTGCCCGAATAATTATTTTGTCTTTTTTGTTTGTTATAATTACAATAATTAATTATTTAAAATGATAAAAAAAATTTAAGTAACCATTTCGCAGACAAAAAAATTATTTTAAACAATTATTTTTAATTCAACATATGATACAAGTATAATTATTAAATTTGTTGAAATTAAAAGAATTAAATCTTAAAATTGATATAATACAAAAATCAATTTTTAACTTGGACCTTAAAGGTTATCTCAAATTTTCATCGTACTGTTAGCTTACTAATTTTTTAGAAAAATAAGTACGTTAAACAATTAATCAATTATGATCAGTGTCTAATTTTGTTTTTTTTAATAAAATATTTTTGAGTTTGATATTCTTTTATAAACTATTATTAATTAAAATTCAAAAAACCCGATTATCTTGAAATATTGATGACATTAACAATCAATTGAATAGTACATTCTAACGTCTAATCTATTAATTTAAACTGAAAGAATTTAAGTTGGAATGACTCAATTTATCCTTTTTTAAACATTTAAAAAAGTCAATGCTTTCAATTTCCTTTTATTTTTTATCAATATCAAAATTACCTTTTAAGCATATTCGTATGCTTTTTTTCTTTTTTTTAATTTTAAAAATTGTCATAAAATTACAGTAAAAAAATTCACAAGACAACCGATAAAAGATAATCTTAAATCAGTTGTTTTTTTTTTTTTGTTCTTTTGGAAAGAAATAGAAAATATTACTATAAACAGCCAAGCAAAAGACAAAGCCTAACGTCAAGGAAGTGGTACATCATTTGTTGCTGACGTATACAAGTGAGGAGTTGTAATAATTACTCACATTCATAAATCAGAACGTTCAGCATCGGAGGAAAAAGAACCTTCATACCCGGAACCATGGGTACTCCGGTAATTTAACACCTTTACCTTGTTTCTGGCTGAGAAATAGTGAAATACAAGGTGACTGGGGAGTTGCAGGGAACAAAGAGAAATACTGTGCGGCATAAAATCCTCAGCGTTAACGCCCTCAAATATAATAAAATTCACTCCACCCGATCCAAGATTTTCCCTTAATTGCCCTCTCTTTATCCGTGCCGATTGTGCTCTCTCTAACCTCGCGCCAAAAGAATTCACCATTCCGTCACCAAATCCTCCTCTCTGTTATACGAACATTGTAAGTTCCGAGCTGAATTTCAGATTTTTATTCCTTCCTTATATTTTCTTTCCTTTTTCAAATCAAAGGATTTTTGTTTTTTGGATTTTGATTAATGCGGAGCTTCTTTTAGGTAGTCAATTAATGTTTAATTAATGTGCTTATCGTCAAACATAAAAGTTTCATTTTTGGAAGGATCTTGAAAGATTTCTATTTGCTTGATAAATTAAAGGATTTCCTTTTTGGATGTGAATTTCTGAGTTCAATCTATTACCATCTGAATCACGGTTTTTAGTTTCTGATTTTGGTTTTTTCTCCTTAAGTGTGAGATTTATCTTGTTTTCTCAGGGTAGAAGGAGGAATTCAAGTCTCTTCAAGAAAAGCGTGCTGTTCTGAGATTCGTGAATAGGATTTAGCTGATAGTCTCAATTAGGGAAGAAGATTGAATAAACTTTGGAAAAAATTTTCTCCCTTCTTGTTCAGGAAAGAAAAAGAAAAAGTCGGTTTGGGTCTATAAACCGATTCGCATGCATTTAGTTTCCAATTTAGAAGTCCCTTGTTGGTGGGTCATTTTCAAAACAACAATTCTCAGATTCATCGAAGGAAGATTTCGATCATCGGCAGTTAGTTAGTTGGTTGGTTGATCTTCAAAGGATCCATGTTACACGAATCTTTGTAGGACTTTACCTAATTAGGAAACCATGTCATTGGCTTCCCCAAAAGGCTCTCCTAGAATGGCTGCATTCCCGCGGAGCCTTTCCTCCATTGCAGCCTCATTGGCAGTACTAGCTATGTTCTTGATTTTTGCTTCTTGGCTTCTAGTTTCGTATCCAATTGGTTCTACTGTTAGAGGGTACTTTTATAGTGTTGATAGGAAAATAGTTTTGCCTGCTTCCGGCTTTAATCAAAGTGCTGTTAATGATGTAGATTTTGTTGATAAGAATTCATCATCTGGGTCAAATTTGAAAGCACCTGTGTTGAGTTCCAATAGTTCTATCGTTCTTGATGATAGTGAAAATGCACAAGTATCTATTACATCTTCTGTTGCTAAGGATTCGTTGCCATCTGAGTCTAATGTAGAACTGCCTACTAGTTCCAAAGATTCACTAGTTGATTCGAAAAGTAAGGAGATGCCAGAGAAGCCTGTAGAGCTTCCAGAACCGTCTCTCAGATCAGCGGAAAATGCGGTGGACACTTCCAGTTCTGCATCTGGCAAAGCATCTGAGATCAATTCAGTTGATTCAGGTAGTATTCCTTTTGCACTTCTTGTTACGTAACATCTGATTTCAGATCAAGTATTATCTGCCATACATATTTGTTTGATTGTTTTTGCTATCTAGAGGTGGAATCTGCATCTTTTACTGGAAACATATTAGGAACTTATTGATGTTGGTTAATTATGTTTTCACACAAGGTTTATGCTGGGTCTCTAACACGGTAGCTTGCTGTTACATGGTTTATTTATCAATACATAATTGATTGTCAAGTATGTTCAAGTCTTACTGTCTTGCTTCTGTTTTAATCCCCCAGAGTATGATAGAAAGTTTCTTCAAGCAGAGGGAAGAATGTAGAATGTGATCGGTGAAATGTTTTGTGGTCAATTACCCATTTTATGTTGCAATGTCCTGAAATGGATGCATTTGAACATTGAAGTCCAATCTGCAATATACTTTTTTCAATTTAACAGTAATTTTCTTGATGTGCTGATAAACTGCTATTAGAAATATCTCAAAATTTACAAAGAAAAAGAGAGAGAGAGAGAGAGAGAAAGATATACATATACTTTCAATCAGCTATATTGATCCCAATTGACCTTGTCTTTATAAATACAATGTTTGCTTTGAAGTGTTCCTTCTAATGTATATGCGTCTTACCTTTTCTCTCCACTCCCTCAATTGAGATTCTGATACTCAATTTGATTGGTTGCTCCCTAGGCTGTGACCTGTACCATGGAAATTGGTTCTATGATCCACAAGGGCCGTTATACACCAACAACTCTTGTCCTGTCCTAACACAGATGCAGAACTGCCAGGGTAATGGGAGGCCTGACAAGGAATATGAGAATTGGCGTTGGAAACCCTCTCAATGTGACCTCCCACGATTTGATGCCAAGAAGTTTCTGGAGTTGATGAGAGGAAAGACGCTTGCTTTCATTGGTGATTCTGTTGCTCGAAATCAGATGGAATCAATGTTGTGTCTTCTGTGGCAGGCAAGTATCTGTATTTCTTAAAATGCCAGTTATTTCTGAACAAAAAATTGTTGCACAGTGGCCTTTGTGACTGGGGCAAGTTTGCACCATACTTTTTCTAATTTGTTGATTCTCTTAGCCCATTGTTTCACTTTTAATAATTTCTTCCTGGCTTTGAAATAGTAGAACAATGGCGTGTTCGGGAATGGGTTGGTTGTAGCTGTGTGATAGGCTCATGTGGCTAGAGGTGTTATAAATTGTTACCATTAGTAAATATTTTAGTTATTTTCTAGCGCTCTGTACTCTTAGGTGTGATAAACTACGCTTGTATTGCGTTTATCCTTCTTTTTTGGCTCTTTTCTACCATAGGACTGGGTTCTCATGAAAAAAGTTATGGGATGATTTCAGGTTGAAGTTCCAAAAAATCGAGGCAACCGGAAGATGCAACGATGGCATTTCAGGTCGACATCTGTAATGATTGTCCGGATATGGTCCTCTTGGCTTGTCCATCAATCTTCTGAAAAGTTTGGCTTTGCTCCAGGGGGTGTTACCAAGCTGCACCTTGATGCTCCTGATAATAGCTTCATGGAATTCATCCCGAACTTTGATGTGATTGTTATTTCTTCTGGCCATTGGTTTGCCAAGCGGTCTGTCTATATCTTGAACAATGAGATTGTAGGAGGACAACTATGGTGGCCAGATCGTTCTCGGCCTATGAAAATCAATAATATTGATGCATTTGGGATATCTGTTGAGACAAGTCTGTCTGCTATTCTTACACATCCTAATTACACAGGCCTGACTATCCTGCGTTCCTTTTCTCCTGATCATTATGAGGGTGGAGCCTGGAATACCGGTGGATCATGCACAGGAAAAGTAAAGCCACTTGCAACTGGTGAGTTAGTGGCGAATGGCTTTACAAATATAATGCACAAGAAACAGGTGATGGGTTTTAAACGTGCTGTCAAGAAGGCGACAAATAAGTCCAAGTTGCGGTTGATGGATATTACGGAACTCTTCGGCTATCGCCATGACGGGCATCCTGGCCCATATAGGAACCCAGACCCAAATAAGATCACAAAACGTGGCCCAGATGGAAAGCCTCCACCTCAGGATTGCTTGCACTGGTGCATGCCAGGTCCTGTTGATACCTGGAATGAACTTGTGCTCGAAATTATAAGAAGAGAATTTGAGGGCGACCAAAACTTTTCATCAGAAGATTGATGGGGTTTCGGTCAGCAAATTTCCACTTGATTGTGCTTTTGTAATCGAAACAGTAACTTATTTAGTGAGATTTATTTTGTGGTTAGAGTGAGGGAGAGCTAGTCCTTTTGTTTATACCCTTACATATATTCTTTTTTCCTCTTATGGAAGGGAGTTTGGGAGAGAAATAACCTGTTGTAGCAGTTTGGAATATTGAGAGCTATTTGCATTTTTGTGATGCCTGATCGACCAATGACAATATCAAATTCATAATTTTGGAGAAATAAATTGCTGTTCTCTCTGTACAGCTTTCATTTTTAACCGAAAATCAGGTTGTGGCGCCTTGTTTTTTGTACATCACTCTGGAGATTTGCCTCTTTATAGTTCTGCCTGTTCCTGCTGCTGTCATTTGTGCTTGTCATTATCAATGAGTTTGAGACTTCGAGCTGGTAATTCTCTTAAGCAGTTGGAGCAGTTGGGACCTGTTAAAATTTTGAATTTGATTTTATTAGTGGGAAACAGAGTTATACAGGCTCCAGGGGATGGCGGACTGTTGACGATTTGTATTGTATTCGTGTTATGCGAAGCTTCGTTATAATATAGTACAGCCGGTAATTTTCTTGTCTTTTCCTCCGGCCACACCCTTTTTTTCTAACCTTTTATCTATGCAGCATTCACATGGATTTCACCTTCCTTTTTTTCTTTTCAAATTCTCTGATTCCTTTTATGACAAGAAATAAAAAAGGAAAGAAGGAGAAATAAAGTTCAAATGGTTGCAAACTTCTTGTTTCAATTCACCTTTACTAAGCACCTAAAAAAACCGAAATTAATACTGTAATTACTCCTAAGAAATCGATCGGATGCAATAGGATCAAGGCCCCCCCATTCTTCTGGTGGTGACATGGCAAATTCTTATTTGCTCTCTAAAATTGCTTCCTGGAATCACAAGTAGTCTATAAAATATAACGCCTCCTGTCATGATCCAATGTCCCACCGATTGTGAATGTAACAAATATTGACCGTTGGATTTCAAGTCATAAGATAATCCAACGGTGTAAGTTTGTATAAATCGAGTGCAGATGGGTACATACAATCGCTGCCTCTCCCTCGTGGGATTTGAAATTCAAATCGTCTTGGTTCCTAGCGAATCCAATCCCTATCATCATTAACAACAAATCCTTAACAAGCGCTCTTCAACGGTCCTTTTTCCATAAACGCCTTCACTCTCTGTCTCTCTCTCTCTCTCTCTCAACCTTTGGTACTTTTTGTTGCAAATCGAAAATTCAAACCTTAATTCTCGCGTTTTTTAGGTTAGCCTGCATCTTCTGACGAAATTTTCACTCTTGCTAACAGAAATATACCTTGGAGAGGAAAAACTGTTCGTTTCAATCTCTCTTTGTTCAGGTTTGTCTTCATCTTTCCACTTTTTTTCTTTTCTTTTCTTTTTGCTCTGTTTTTTTTCCCTTCAATTTCTTGTTGCCATATTTGGCTGATGAGAAATTGAAGGGAAAAAAAAAAAAACAAAAGCACGAGGAGAGCTTAAGGCTTATATCTGCTGTTCTTCATTTAATAATAGCTCATTGTGAGTTTCTAATGATTAATAACTAACATGTTTGGAACGAAATCATGATTTAGCGTGTTATCTAGAGGTAATCAAGATAGTAAAATCCATGCAATTAATCTTTACCTCAAGGTTCAGACTTTAGGTCGAAAGCTTTGGAGCTTGCAATTGATGTTTTGTAGTAAGATCTTAATGCAATTAGGGTTAATCTCATGGTCATGGATCAAATGTCATCTATGTCTGTCAAATGGTCATTTTCTCTTTTCTTTGACATTTTCATCCTAAGATTTTTCTTTTTTGTAATCAATTCCGGTTTAGATTTCATTTTATATTTAATTTAGAAAAACTATGGAAATCCAGTCCTATGTACTACGTGTTTGCCTAATATAGTAACATTTCTTAATGTCCAGAACAACCACTTAATCGAACTTGGATGCTGCTGTCTTGAGATATCCTCAAATTTCAACGTATAGATGTCCAGAACAAAGTTACTTTGTCTGTTTGTCATTTTTGGCAGTTATAAATTTAGCCTATGACTTTGTGTAGCTATGTTTTTGTTCGAAACATGAAATAAGTATCAATTGTCATGTCCCAATGCAAGCTTAAAGCATGAGGTTGTCTACTAACTGACTGTAACATTGTTTTTTCATGTCATTGTTCTCAATCTTCCAGCTAAAATTGATCCGAACCAGTGTTGGCAATATTTTACACTTTTATATGCCATCTGGAACATCGGTTTTTCCTTTTTCTTTGTGCTTGCTTTATTGTGCCTATAATTTTGGACTTCTTCTGATTTTTGAAGATATGGGTTATGGCAGGAATTATTCATCATGTCTACTCCAAAAAATGATCCACTTCTTCAAGTGGAAACAACGTGTGGAACCCTTCTATACGAACTTCAGGTATTTAGCAAGATGATTCCCCCTTTTTTGTTGTTTTATTCTCCCAGTTCAAGAATGTCTTTTAACTGTCCTATTGGTATTCTAAATTTTAACACAATCTAATATTTACACATCCGTTATTTCTTGGAAAAAATTAGATAATCTGGGACGAAGTCGGGGAGACAGACTCTGACAGGGATAAAATGCTGCTGGAGCTCGAACAAGAGTGCCTGGAAGTATACAGACGAAAGGTGGATCAAGCAAATCGCTGCAGAGCTCAGCTAAGACAGACAATTGCCGATTCTGAAGCTGAACTTGCTGCCATCTGTTCGGCAATGGGGGAGAGGCCAGTGCATATTAGGCAGGTCAGGAATGAAAGAATAACAAACACTGGATGAAAATTTTCTGATTAGATTGGACTATTTACTTATGTTATGGGTCAAACTTTTTCAGTCTGATCAAAACTCTGGAAGCTTGAAGGAGGAGCTCAGGAAAATTCTTCCACAACTGGAGGAGATGAGGAAAAGGAAGGTCGAAAGAAGAAATCAGTTCATAGACGTTTTAGAACAAATACAAAAGATCACAAATGAGATTTATGGATCCACAGAATCAGTTTCTTTGAAGACAGTTGTAGATGAAACTGACTTATCCTTACGGAAGCTTGAAGAATTGCATAGACAGCTCCATGAACTTCAAAAAGAGAAGGTAAACTTTTTTTTTTTTCATTTCTTTATTGTTTCCACTTTCCACCTTGTATGGTCACGGCAAAAGCTCGCTGACAAATCTCTCTCTTGGACAGAGTGATCGCCTGAAGCAGGTTCAGGACCACCTTAATGTGTTGAACTCACTCTGCTCGGTTATGGGTATGGATTTCAAGCTCACAGTTAGTGAGGTCCATCCTAGTTTAGGAGACTCTGACGGATTGAGGAGTATTAGCAATAATACAATTGAGAAGTTGGCTATAGCAATTAAAAAGTTACGGGAAGTTAAGATACAGAGAATGCAAAGGGTAAAAATGTTAATTTCAGCCTTTCTTATATTGCAAAATCTTCTCGCTCTCCATTTCTCTTGTCCATAATAGTTATTCTTTGACCCTTGGCAGCTCCAAGATCTTGCTACCACCATGTTGGAGTTATGGAATCTAATGGATACACCTATTGACGAGCAGCAGATGTTTCAGAATGTTACCTGTAATATAGCTGCTTCAGAACATGAAATTACTGAACCCAACACTCTCTGTGTGGATTTCATCAACTATGTAAGTGATGCACATTTAAAGCCACTTTTACTGATCTTCTGTTGCTTCTCTTGGTTCTATAATTTTGTAAAAGTAGTAAGTGCTTTACTGCAGACTATTGAGAAGTAAACATGATATACCTTGCAGGTTGAGGCAGAAGTTTCTCGGTTGGAAGAGTTAAAGTCAAGCAAAATGAAAGAGCTTGTCCTCAAGAAGAGATCAGAGCTAGAGGATATCTGTAGAAAAACACACCTGGTTCCAGATTCAGACAGTGCGATAGAAGATGCCATTGAAGCTATCGAGTCTGGTACATACTAATGGCTATTGTTATAATATCAGTTATACTTCAATTCCAACCCCCCCTCCCTCTCTTCCTACCAAATGTCATTTCTTACTTTTTATATCCAGGAGCTGTGGATGCTGCTACCATACTAGAAGAAATTGAACTTCAAATTGCTAAGGTTAAAGAGGAAGCTTTTAGCAGGAAAGAAATACTTGAAAAGGTGGAGAAATGGTTGACGGCATGTGATGAGGAGTGTTGGCTGGAGGAATATAACAGGGTGGGTGTTTTGTCATCTCTTCAGAGTGTTAATTTGTTTTATCCTACCATAATTTCCTCATTTAAATGTCTCTTATTCAACAGGATGAAAACCGATACAATGCAGGAAAAGGTGCTCATCTTACACTCAAGCATGCTGAGAAAGCTCGATCCTTGGTTAATAAACTTCCAGGTATATGGTACATTCTAGAAAAAAGGTTGAGAAAGTTTAAATGTCACAGAGCTAAGCTTAGTTTTCTGAGTATGGTATCACATCATGAAGCCCATTTTTTGAGGTTCCTTCCAATCAATTTCTATTTCCTACGTATTTTAAGTAGAATTAGTTGACACAGTGCTGAAGCTGTTTTGTAATATTAACTTAGGAATGGTGGAGGCATTGGCTTCAAAGACCCTGGCATGGGAAAAGGAGAGAGAGATCAGATTTATGTATGATGGTGTGAGTACTCTTACCAGTTACACCCTTGAATCTTCATATCCTAGATTTGCTTACACTGTTGGTATCTAACTGACCCTTTTACGCTATCCAGATTCGTCTGCTTTCTATGCTTGAAGAGTATACTATTTTAAGACAAGAGAAAGAGCAGGAAAGGCGTAGATTGCGGGTATGGGCCTGTCATTATTCTAAACTTGTTGTCAAATCTCAGTGCATGTATGCATGCTAGTTCACCAAGTTATGAGCCATGCTTTATGTAATTATGGACCCATTATGGGCGTTTTCCTTGTTGAAACTGAGCTAATTGTCATGCACTATTATTTTTATGCTTCAGGACCAGAAGAAACTTCAGGGACAGCTAATAGCGGAGCAAGAGGCGCTCTATGGGTCAAAGCCAAGCCCATCAAAGCCCCAGAGTGTAAAAAAGGGTCCTAGATTTTCAACTGGAGGTGCAAGCAATAGAAGAGTCTCCTTGGGAGGAGCAATGCTTCCCACTCATAAACCTGATTCACTGCACTCTGCAAAGGCTACTCCCCAAACACGTCCTAGTAAGAAAACTGAGCGAATTTTTCAAAATGACCGTCAAGATGATGCCCTTCCAGCTTTCTCAGCTGGTAAGTTCTCTGTCTCTGCTTGTTACAACCAAGAACATCTTAACTGCTTTCTAAAAAAAATAACAATCAACAATTGTTTATGCAAAGCATCCTGAATATTTTAAAAGGAGATTAGTTTAAATTGTGAACCTTGGAATTTTTGTTCTTGCCATTTTTTTTTGGGGCAGTCTCCCCAATCTCCCTTAGTGTTAAGTGATTCAGTATTACTTGCCAAAACAAACTGGATTCTCAACAAAAATTTATTGACTACATTTTTCAACATTTTGCAGTTAGGAGAGGCCTGGACATTGCTGACATTCCTGTGCGAAAGCACTCTTCCAGTGCTGTAAACGCTAATGAACTAGAGTCACCATTGGTTCGTAAGCCATTCTCGCCCATCTCTTCCACAGTATCATCAAAAGCCAATATGACAAACATGCTAGAAGATAATGGTGACACTTTACAGAAAACGATTCCGACTAATGATCTGTCATACACTACTCCCTTGAAGACAACTTCTTTGGTTGACGAAGAGAATAGGACACCCAAGGCAATGCCTATTCCTGTGCCCTCCACACCTTCAACAGTGTCTATTCCGATGCAGACAGCCATGACCCCAGCTCCGCCAATACCTTTCATTACCAAGCCAGTAGAAGAAATGCCTGAGGAGATCGAGCAGTCCTTCGAGGAAAGAAGGCTTGCTTTTCTGCTTTCTAAAACACAAATAACATCACTGATACAAGTATGATGTTTCATAAAACCTTGGTTGAAAGTTGAAGCTGAATCAAATTGATTTTATTCGTTTCTGTTTCCCCTCCGGTTTGTAATGGCACCAGTCAATTATAATTGGCTGTTCTGCTGTGTATGTAGTCTGCGAGCGTGAGCGTGGACGAAAATGTTGCAACAGTTCTTCTGACTAATGCGAGCTTTCAAATTCCAGTATGCTTGAACATATCAATATTCCCTCCCAATCAATGATAAGGGTTTTCATTTGGAAGATGATCCTCATGTTTTGGTATTTAATTTGGAACTCAGTTGGCGTTCCGATTGAACATTACTGCTTCCTTGTACACAAGCCATTGCATTTTCATTTTTGGTGAAAATTTGATTTTTTTTCTTATTTTTTGTACATTTAGTGGGACAAAAATCTGTGTCTCCTTCGTGTTTAAAGGTTATGGTAATGAGAGAGACAAGCACTGCATAATTTGCTTCTACTTGTCAGCTGTTTCCCCATTTCTATTTCCTTAATTTTTTTTTCTTTTTCCTGGTTTTTTTGGGCAAAATGCAAAAAGTCGGATTTTCAAGTTTACAGTGGCATTAACAGTAGATTTCTCAAAATAAGAGGGTATTTAGTATAAATTACTATAGTCAACTTTAGTTTAACTGAAAAGACAAAGAAGATGTCAGTACGTGGAAAATGGCATGGCTCCAACGCGAGCTTTACAGCTTTAAAATATATTTTTTAAAGCTTTAAATAATTAAAAAATGCAATTTTAAAATTGAAAATTTTTTACTTTTTCCCAAATTTTCATATTCTTTAAGCATCCATAATTTTCTATCTTTTGCCATTTATTAAATTACCTTTATTAATTTTCCAAGACGGACGTGAACCATCTTCTTAACCAAAATTCATACTTTGAATTTTGCAATTAAAATAATAATTATTAACTAAATTCACAATATTAAATCATATATACTATATTTTCATTTTTTTAATAATTTTTTAATTTTTTCAATTTTTTCTACTTTATTTATTTCTCTTCCTTTTCCTGCAAAACCCTAAATTCTTGTTTCCTGAACAAATTCATCTCTTACACCGAAAAGTTTGCAGTTTTCTTCTCTGTAATTCTTAATAATTTTTTTGTTGAATTTTTTGTCAGCATTTTCAAGCTCTGTGTATTCTCTGCAATGGTGAATATTTAAGCCACAAAAGTGTGTTTTCACAAAGAAAAGTGAACCCAATTTCATGCTCATGAAACTGGGTTTCTTTTGATCTTTGAATTTTAATCAAAGTTGTTGTTGTTTTTACATTTCTTTTGGTTGTATGTTTGTTTACTCTGTAATTCAGCTGAAGTTTTGTTTTTGATTTTTTTTTCTTCAAAATTAACTCTTTTGAACCCTCTGATCACTCAAATTTGAAAGAGAGTTTGAATCTTTAATGCGTAGGTTGTAGGGTTTTTAGGGTTTTAGGCAGCTAGTGGTTTTCTGGGTTTTTTGGTTTTTTTTTTTCTATTACTGTCTTGATCTAAAACATATATGAATGGAGGACAAAGAGGGACCATCGCCCGGGGTCACAGTGAAAGGAGATGAAGCTCCAGAGGGCTACCACGTGGCACCCAGAACGGAAAACCCTACTCCACATGCGGGGCCCACAATGCAGGCCACCGCTGCACCTCCGGCGAGCGTAGCAGCGCCGCCGGGACCTAGCACCGGCTCAGAAATGAAGAAAAAAAGAGGCAGACCAAGAAAGTACGGACCAGATGGGTCTTTGGCAATGACATTGTCACCGATGCCGATATCGTCGTCGATTCCTCTGGGCGGAGAGTTTTCCCCTTGGAAACGGGGCAGAGGGCGGCCGGTTGACGCGGTCAAAAAGTCACATAAGTATGAGTTCGAGAGCAGCCCAGGTATTTTCAAAATGAATAATTTGTTTCTTTTCTTTTTTTGTTTGCTTTCTAATCTTGGAAGAGGCTTTTAACTGATGTATTCACTGTTACATTGGTTATCGGGATCTGGGGTCAAAAATCTGTGTTAAAAAGTTAAGAGTTTCTACTCACGTTATTAATGATTGGTAGTGTGAAAAGCTAGAGGTATTCTTGTTTTGATTTCTGGAGAGAGGGATAAATGGATAATTCATTGATTTGAGTTTTTAGGAGTCAATAGAGATTGTGTTTTTGTGGGGTTTGAAATGGGAGTGGGACCGTTGTATATGATTCTAGCCCATATCTGGAATTAATGGTAGTTATTGAAGGACAAGATGATTTGATAACGATGTTGCAAACGAAGGGAATCTGAATATCTCTCTTGTCCAGAGTACTGTACTTGCCTTTGGACAGGGAAAATGGTAAGGTACCAGAATATTAGTCAAGGTGCAAGTGCCTCCTTGTTCTGTGCTTTAGTTGGTAAGGTAAAATATACTCATTCGAGGCTTTGAGCTAACTAGGTCCACAACTCGTTGACCTGGTAATTAATTTTAACAGACCTGCTGACTGTGGTGAAATCATCACACTTGCTATTAGGAAATCACAAAAAGAAACAACAATGAAGAAGTGCATCATCTTCAATCATATTAGGGAAATTGAGGGTAAAAATGGACCCTACCGTAATTTGTCTTGATTTGGAGTTTGGACCCTTTGACCTTAAACATGAACCTCAAGACAATATTTCTGAAAATTGAATTGACCGTACTAAAGTTTCATTGAACATTCTTAATATGCAGAATATCTGTAAGGTTCTGCTGTGCAGTTACTGCTATACTCCTAATTCCTTTGCATCTCAGTCATTAGATGAAACTGGAAGTATAATTACTGTCTTGACTCCATAGTACTGTTAAGCACCATGATGAATGTATATATTTACTTTACTTTTGCACAAGAATGCCTCGTTTCTAGTTTTCCACCTCTCCTTACCCAAGCAGTACGTTAGATAGAATTAAGCTTGACTGCAATATAGGAGTCGTGCTACACTTTTATGTGCTTTGGCGAATAGCCAGTTAACTTGGATGTCAATGATACTGAATTTTTTCTCTTCCCCTCTTTGGACTTAGGCACCCAGCTAGAGGATCTAGTTTTACTATGAGTCTGCTTGGTTATTTGATCTTTAAAAAGTTTTTTTATTGATAAGACAAAGTTTTAATTTTGAAATGCAATCAACATGCTGCAAAAAAATGTGCCACTTTATTTTTGTTTACTAATTTGAATACTTTTTATAGGTGACGGAATCGCATATTTTGTGGGGGCAAATTTCACACCTCATGTGATCACTGTAAATGCTGGCGAGGTATGCGCCGGTAACATAACTTGTCACAATGAGCAAAGGGCATTTGGTGTTATTATTGTATAGTGTTTCCTTCTGTGTTTAAGCAGAAAAAAAAATTCTCTGAACTGTTTTTTTGTGCCTCACATGTGGCTCTAGAGAGGAAATAAATTCTCATAATGGAGGACAGTGGTTGCTTCTGCACAGTTAATATAATGATGAAAAAAATGTTCAAGTTGGTATTTTCCTGATTCCTGTTAAATCTTCAATCTTTTTTCTCCCTCTTTGTGTTGGGTTTTATTATCCCAACTCCTTCCAAGAGTCTATGTTTCCAAGAATGGAACAAATTCATTAAACCACCCACACCACCTCCTCTCCCTTCCGCCAACACCCACCCCCCACCCCCCCGCCCCAAAAAAAAAAAAAATCTTATGACTGTCTTGGTAAGTTACAGAATTTGTTATAATATTTTGAATAGAACCAATGGGATAAATAAATGCATATCTGTAGTCAAGCAAATAAAGAAATATAGAAATGCATTCATGTTATCTTTGGTACTACTTTGGTGGATGTTAATTGCGCAATAATCCAATTTTCTTCTTTTATATATAGACATGCACGTATATACATACATATGTATCTCTTAATTTAGAAAGGTGACTTTTCTTACATCTTTCAGCTATTATGTTTTTTCTCTGTTTTTTTTTTTTTATCTTACTTTTTCCTTATCATTGTTATAGGATGTTACAATGAAGGTGATGTCTTTTTCTCAACAAGGAGCTCGAGCTATCTGCATTCTCTCTGCAAATGGCACTATTTCGAATGTTACCCTTCGGCAGCCTACTTCATCTGGTGGTACTCTGACATATGAGGTGTGTCCCTTCATCCTCCATTCATACGAGTTCAAGTGCATAAGGATGCATGAAATTTTAGTTACTAGGCTTCCTTGTTTTATTGAGGCCCATTAAACCAGTTGAGAAGACCAGTTTGGGTTTACTTCTGCATCAGAGGGACAACTCCAGGGGATGGGTGTTAGTTTCCTTAGAAGGTCAATATGTGATATGCTTTGAAGCTTTTATTTTCACTTAATTCTGCAAGAAGGGCAGGAAAACATGTGGCATCTGCATAGAACTCAGTTTTCCATGGATGCACATATTAAGATGGCTTTATTTATGAGGCTACTTTGTGCCTTCATTTGCACCCAAAAAGTAACTCACGATCCAGTCTAGAACCACTCAAACTTGCTTAGCTTTTGTATTAGAGGAAGCTTCCAAGCCTGGACAGTTGGTGTTTTAAGCGTTTGTAATTTTTATATCCTCATAGCTGTCAAGTAATAATCCCCAGCTTCCTTATTATTTCTCCAGGGACGTTTTGAGATCCTTTCCTTGTCTGGTTCATTTATGCCTACTGAGAATGCTGGAACAAAGAGTAGATCTGGTGGGATGAGTGTTTCATTGGCAGGCCCAGATGGTCGTGTTTTAGGAGGGGGACTTGCTGGTCTGTTGGTAGCAGCTGGTCCTGTGCAGGTAAAACCATATTCTATGAAAGATCAAAAAGAAAGAGGCAAAGAACAAAGAATTTGAAGGTCATTAAGTAGTTCAAAATTTCTAAATATACACACAAGGTTTCCATATGTTTTGATGATATCTTGTTTTGGAAAGAAAATTCAGACAGTTGATATTGACATAAAATATTAGCAAAAACTCAATGGTTTAATGTTATTTCAAAGGACGTGGAATGCTGCAACCTGGCCAGTGGACAACACTAGCAATAAATAAAAGGATCACTGTCGTTGTCTAATACCTTCTTTCTCAATCGTTTTGAGTGAACAGGTTGTTGTGGGCAGTTTCCTACTAGGTCACCAGCAGGAGCAGAAGCACAAGAAACAGAGAACTGAACCTGCAGCAGCTGTTGTGAGCCCTACAGCTGTGCATACGATGTCTACAGAAGAAATTAAGGTGTCCTATGGTGGAGTAAAGCCAATTCTCACCGCTCCATTCCCTGGAGACAATTTGGGTACTTTGAACCCTATCCAGGGCTTTAGAAACTCTGCTATTGACAATAAATCGTCTTCAGCTGGAGAGGAATCAAAAGGCCACAGTCTATCACAGTGTGAGGTTTCCAGTTGATGGCATCCGCATGTCAGAAGCTGGCTTATCGTCTTTGTTCTTTTCACATCATTTAGGCTCCTAAGTCAACTTTGTCCAAAACCACTATAAGCTCATTGGCTTCTTACCAAGGGAAAAGTAGGTTTAACATCTTGATGGTTTTAACCCATAATTGTACTCCCTCTCGATAGGTTTAGGTAGTATTTCTAGTTTGTTAGGATCAGTATGCGGCTGTTGTCATGGTGTATGGTGTATTTTCAAGTGTTGTCTTACTCATTGGTGTAAAATTTTATGAAATGATCGAAACCTGGTGTGCCATTCTTCTGATTTTAAGTGCCATGTATCTGAATGATTTGAAGGTTTAATTGCATTGTTGTTTTGATTATGGTTTGTAGAAACTCAAGACCCTTAATTGAATATAATTCACAAAATCCCGCATCCCACAATTTCAAGTTTGTCACAAAGATGTTTGACCCTTAATTGAATATAATTCACTTTAGAATTTACTACAAGTTTCAAAGATAATTTAACCTTTCCAAAGCTCGCCTTTAAGAGTGTTTATGGCTAATGGGCCACTCCTTGTCTCTGCAATGCTAATATTATTATACAACCCCAGAACTTATTTTCATGGTCAATTTCAAGTCAAAATCTGCGTCGTCTGACTCTTCACCATCCATACTTGCAGAAGATTATGTTCGTGGAAAGAATAAAAGCCAGGCCAGGCCTCATCATCAAGATAACAAAGTTGCCATTAGTAATAAATATGGCCATTTTATTATTTCATTGAATTTGGGAGTAAAATTAGTTCAAAGACTGCTTTATCGTTACTATTTTTCTAATGAACCTTATAGTTTAATGGTCAAGAACACAGCAGTTGGGCAGCACAGAGAGAAAAAGAATTCTTATATGAATGCCCTTGCTTCGCTTGTAAAGTATGCAAAGTCCTTTTGATGCTTGAAACAAATTCTCTTGACAAGATTAAAACACGTACATGAAAAGCATCTCTTTTTCAGGCATGCCCCAGGTAGACAGGTCGAATCATTAAAGTCGATACGGATAATTTTAAACAAAATAAGGGTTTACTCTCATTTTATTCTTCCTTTCCATCATCGAAATTTACAGCCTTCAGTTACAAGAGGCAGAGTAGAATTCTAAACAAAGCTGCAGAAAGTTTTGCTGCTCTCAACTATCAAGCTGAAAAACTCATCTGTAAAAGAAAAAAAAAGGAGGAATTTCCTGAAGCCATGACCCATCAATTTAAAAGAAGGATTCGGGCATGATCTAAAGAAGATATATGCATTGAAGATGTATCTTTAAGCTGAAATAGACATGCTTAACTTTTCTGCTCTCCATTCTCTGTTGACCTTGGCGATAAATTCTTCTACTCTTCTCCTTAGCTCGTCATCCCCTTCATCATCTTCATCAGTAACGATGATACTGTTGCCATTACTATCATTTTTGGTCCCTTTGTTGCCCTCAGTAGCTGTCTCATTGGCACCTGGCACTCTACAGGGATTCATAGCTCGTTCACTTATGTCAGGTGATTGCTTAGCCTCTGCGTCTTGCTTATGATATGTAGGTGTTGAGAGAGGAATTTCATAGTCTTGATCGAAACTGGAGCCATGCTTCGAACCCATGAGGATCATAACAATGATCAAATTGAAGAGACAGAAGACATAAAGATCGTTGGAAACAGCTTGGCTTATCAAATCCAATGTAGAATCAAGCATGGTTGCAACAAACGAACCAAAAAAAAAAAAAACAAGGGACAAGAAAGTGAAGCGAGGAGAAAGGGCAACAGTTGATCAAACTATACTGGTATTACCAGGGGATTTTAAGGCTATTTATAGCGCTGCACAGTCTAAGAAAAAAGAGTGGATGAGAAGCTTTTGTAGCAGAAAGTGTTGAGTGGAAGCTATAATTTAATAGGAGCTGACAGATTATATAATGTTTTTGATAAATGATTAATGGGTTATTTTTCCCAAAAAATCATTAATCTATTGATGGTTTGGGACAACTGCGAAGTGGGGCTTCCCTGCATTTTACTAGTCCCAAATGCTGCACATGGAACGGAACCTTCTCGGTCTCCCGTACTCTTTTATGTCATCAATGGCTTAGCCTTGGGTAATTTCTGGCTCTTACAACGAAGCAATGTCTTTTTGAAACTTTTTGTTTTCTCCTATGAATGAGAAAGAGAATAACGAGGCAATCAAGAAACGGGCAGATCAAAATAACAAAATTCTCTTATATCGTAAGATAACGGATGATTGTTCATTGGAAATTTGACTTGCCATATATAAATCATGTTAATCGAACATTTTGAGTTCAAAATTCGAATACATTGTACAAAATAAGAATCATGGAAGAATCTGTTATGATAGAATTCAGAATCGGACGACAGTACGATCAAACACCAACTACCTTGCATTATTGGCCTGTTTTGTATTTTTCTCTCCGGATAACATATTGGCATTATTCTTTGGCAAACTTGGATTTCTTGGGGGAAGAAAATTGCATAATCCAGCTGTTGAGTTCGCTTATGAGGCCTGAGCAGCATTGGCTGAAGCAATTCCTATGCTTCCAATGTCATTTTTTTCTGATGCCAAACAAAGGTTGGATCAAGAATTAAGTTGGCAGGTTCATTGCAAACTAATGATCTTGATTCAACATTACTACTCATAATATAATTTATGTATATCGGATAATTTTCTTTGTAAATTCCACCCAGAAAACATAGTTAACTAATATCATGACTTCAAACTACCATTACTCAACCCGAACATCAAAAAGAAAATTAATACTTAAAGATGAAACAACGGCTTAAAGTTTACATAAAAGCAAAAAAGAAAAGCCCAGAAGTGAGAACAGGTCCTAGCTCTTATCACCTTCTGCTTTTCTTGTTTCCTGCAACACTGCCTTTATTGAAGCCTCTCAGATCATTCGTGGTTTCGGCAGTGTTCTGCTTTCTCAAACCTTTTCTCCCTCCAAATCCAAACTTTGAATTCCTGAACTCCCTGTTTTTTCCATTCTTACCCTTTCCACCACCTTGCTTTGCCTTCCCTCCAGAGCGATCCCCTGGAGACACCCCTGGCCTTTTCTTGCCCGACCTCTCAAATGCTTTACCATCTTCGAAACCCAAGTCTAGCTCACTATCTTTGCCACCAGCAGGGAAGCCACTCTGCTGCCTGTGCTTCCTCCACTTCTTAACTGATTCAATCTCTTGTTTTTTCAGCTTAGCTCTTTCTTTCAACTTCTCAGCTTGAACCTCTTTAGCAATTCTCTTGGCCTCTCTAGCCTTCCTTCTCTCCTCAGCCTCTTCAATCTGTCTCTTTCGTGCCAAAAGCCTGCCCTTCACCTTATGCATGTGGGCATCTGTTTTAACCATCTCGGCATAATAGTCAGGAGGCCTAAGGAAAGGTAGCCCCATTGACTGAAACTTCTCAAACGCCAACCTTGTCCCCTCCAATGCCTGTGTGTAGAAAGCAAGCTCTCTTGCCAGGTCATCATTCACATCCACCTCTTTCTCTTGATCAATATCAAAGGAAAGCTTGTGCATCCACTCAACGTTTTCTGGCCAGCTGATATCTTGAAGTTTCTCAATGAGGCCATCCCTATTGTATATAGAGTTCTTCGAAGGCTCAGCCAACTTCACATCTTCCTCTTCTGATTCCGACCCAGATTCAGACTCTTCCTCAGTAAGATCATCCATTACATTATCATCTTCCTCTGAATTCTCAGTTAGTAAGATTGCTTTTTTACTTGGTAGTCCCATTGAGTAAAACCTACCATTAAAGAGGGGGAATTTCAAAAACTCATTACCAGGATCCAAATAGGATACAGTAATTTTTGTACACTACTTTTTTAATCCCTATAAGGTAATCACAGTCATGAGTGACCAGGCAAAGAAAATAGCAGACCAAAATCGATATTGCTTCGTCCAAGAAAGAAAATACCCATTAACCTATTAAATTTCTGTTAACCAGGTGTAAAGGTAATTCACCGCAAAGAAAGTACAGGACATCCAACAGCGTGAATCAGTTTTCCAAAACAAAATATCAAACAGAAAAAGGATGCCACAAACCTTCCCAAACTTTGAGTTAAGAGCACAACACAATCCTAGATTTACAAGAAGTTACATTGAACTAAACCAGGTTCCAGAGAAGTAAAAACAAGACAAACGCAATCAAAACCTGATATCTGATATCAATTTTCGTGATTTCCAGAAGAAACAATAAATGCAAATACCTAAGTAAAATCGTATCATTTCATACTCCAAGAATTGGAAACAGTAAACTAGAAATACGAGAAGTGGAAAAGCAAGTAAAATGGAGAAGAAAATACCTCTGAGCAAGTCGCCGGCTCTCAAAACCTCAGCAAAACCCTAAGCTGCTCAGAGTCGCAATTTCGAAGCCGAAGCTATTTGTTTAGGCGAGGAGAACGCCAGTTGGGCTGCAGGAGACCTAGTTAGCCTTTACATTTAAACACAGTAAAAGCCCATTTAATGTAGGGCCAGCTGCATTTTATTCCTATGTAGGCCCCACACAAATTGCACTCTGAATTTTTCTTTGTTGGGCTCCGATTTCCGAACAAGTCCACTGTTTAAAGAGGCTCAATCCTTCTATTTCTATTTGTTTAGTTACTTATTGGAGCTCAAAATTTACTCTAAAGTCAATTTTAGGTAAACTCTCTCACCAAAAATATTAAGATAAAATACTTTTACTTTCAGGTTTTGATTAAAAAAATACCTTTATTATTTCTTTTTTTTTTATTAATTAAAAAGAAAAAACTCCTTGTTTGGGGAGCACCAGAGCTTCTCCCTTGAGAGGATTGATTCGGTGCTCCAGTCCTTTGGACAGCACTGATCGTTGCTGTCTTCCCCTGGGAGAATCGGCCGGTGGTCTCTTTTTTGGGAGAGCACTCTTATTTTTTTTATTTTTTTAAAAATATAATAATAATTTTTAAATTAATAAAAAATATTTTAATTTTTTTATAATTTTCGTTAATAATATTTAGGTTTTTAAAATAAAATGTCGATCAAAATTTTAAAAATAGAAATAATTTACCCAAAATATTTCTAGCAAATAATTAAACTCTTTACGAATAATTGACTCCTAGTAGTACACGCAAAAATTAAGGTGTCACACATACACCCAAAATGAAAAATCAATCAAGTCACCCCGATGATTACAACAAATTGGAGATACAAGGAACCGCGAATTCTCTTCTACACGAAAAATGGCCTTGAATGGCAGGGACGGAATGGAGATGACAAATTTTGACCCCAACAAGCCCTTAATTAGAGGCTTCTTGGTGAAATAATATAGAATTGAATGCCCTGAACCTGATACACATTGCTGGAAAATATATCACCCTCTGACAAGAAACTACCGAGTTCCTTGGGTTGACAGGCTTGCTAAATACTACAAATATAGCAATAACGGGGGCATTTATCAACAACTCTTGACCCTATCAAAGTATGTAGTCATCTCCACTGGTTTACAACGTAAACGTCACTTTAATATCACTCCCCAGTCCCCACGCCTTAATTTCCCATGGGCGGACAAGACCTAGGACATGAAAGTGCAGTCCAATAATTTCCCGTATGTAACCATTCAAAGCCCATATATTCAAAAGATAATTATGAAAACCCTTTACTCTAGATTACCCAAGGAAGAGAATAGTCACAGCATCACATTCAAATTGTGAAGATTTATAACTGAAACAAGTTTTTACAAAAACACTACTCGAAAAAGGGGGAAAAAGTGAACCCAATCAAAACAACACCTTCACTCAGGAATACCTCATATTCTACTATGCTAACTAATTTAAGCCTTCCTACTACTAGAAAAGACCCTTGACTTCCGCAGCGTCATGAAGCTTATTGCAGTACAGGGAATCGCCAATGAACCTAGTAGGGTTCTACTGGTGCTCTGAACTTTGCCCCAGCATAAACTGCAGCAGCTCCAAGCTCTTCTTCAATCCTGAGAAGCTGCAATTGTGCAATCCATATCATAAAATAGTTAGTACAATTGAAGACTATATCTGCCTCCTATAAAGAATGATAGAGATAGCAGAGAATGTGCCTAAAAGCTAAAAGCAAGAATGAATAAGCCTTTACCTGGTTGTACTTGGCAAGACGTTCTGATCTACAAGGAGCTCCCGTCTTGATTTGGCCCTGTTTCGGAAAAAGGTAGGTCAATAACTCAAAATGGAAATAGTGAAAACTAAAAAGCAAGGAATTTTTTTTGGTGAAAACTAAAAGTAAAACAAGATAAGAGTTAGCATAACACTTACTGTTGCCAACCCAACTGAAAGGTCCGCAATAAAAGTATCCTCAGTTTCGCCACTACATTAGACAACGAAAACATTGTAAGGAGGAATACACATAACAATGATATCTAAAACCATCAGGACATATCAAATATATTTTCTTAAAATAAGTCACATATTAAATGCAGAGATCGATATAACAAAAAACAATTGGTAGGGTGTTGTGAAGTGAGGGAGCCATACCTTCGGTGGCTTGCCATGACACCCCAACCAGCAAGTTTAGACATTTTTACAGCTTCAATACTTTCAGTTACAGAACCTATTTGATTCACCTGACAAATAACAAACCGTGAATATCGTCGAAGAATTTTATTAATCTGAGCAAGCCAACAGCTAAAAACAAATACACTGCTAACTCTACATCATGTACAAGATTAGTTGAAGAACAGAAAAATTGGTCAAAAGCTACCTTCAGTAGAAGAGCATTGCAGGACTTCTCCTTAATTGCTTTCTCCACGCGCTGAAGCAAGCATAAAACATAGAGCATTAACAACTCCACAAAGCCAACCTCTATATTATAATCCAAATCATAAATAAAGTCTTTTACCTTAGGATTTGTGACAAGGAGATCATCACCAACAATCTGCACTTGCTCACCAATTTCACAGGTCAATTTGGCATAGTGCTCCCAATCATCCTGATCAAATGGATCCTCAATGGAGACAATTGGATAATCAGTCACAAATGACTTGTAAACATTCTTCAAACTGTCTCCAGAAATTTTTTGTGATCCATCATTGTTCTGTAGCAACAATTTTTTGATAAGTAATCCAGTTTAACTTTAAATTAAAGAAAATGTTACAGGAAAGTTACAGATGTCATATGAAAAACATATTTTACCTCTTCCTTGAAATTCAAGTCATAGGTTTTATCCTTGTTATCATAGAACTCTGAAGCAGCAACGTCCATTCCAATAACAACCTGTCAACAAAGATAAAAAGTTAATTTTGATGATAAGATTTCAGCAAAAACATAGTAGATAATGATATAACTACACCAGTTTAGGTTAACATGCTGAATATTTCTGAAACTAACCTTTCCAGTGTACCCAGCTTTTGCTATAGCTGTCTTCAAGAGCTCAAGTCCCTCTTTGTTTTCCTGCAAATCATAATATCCATGCAAAGCAAATTAAATTACTTATCTAAACGGTTGGTATAATCAGGATCCTGAGGTCCATTGTTCATTACAAATCTATGGTCCGAAGTAGTAAGCTCAATTCATTTTATACATTTGCTTTATGAAAAATAAAAGAAATAAGAGAAGCAAAAGGCCCTTCACGCTAAACCAGACCTAGAATTTGGTTCCTAGCAAACAGCAAATTATTTCAGACCTGAATGTTAGGAGCAAAGCCACCTTCATCACCAACATTAGTAGCATCCTGTCCGTACTTCTTCTTTATAACAGCCTAAAAGAGCAACAAGTAAGAACAAACTACAAGGGTAGAAAAACAAGAAGCCAAGGGAGCAGGAAGAAAGTAAGTGGCAAAGAGGGAAAAAAGTCTACCTTCAGGTGATGATATACTTCTACGCCCATCTTCATGGCTTCCTTGAAAGATGATGCCCCGACTGGGAGAATCATGAATTCCTGGACAAGTACCAAATAGTTAAAGACTTCAATAAGGCAAAATGGAATCCAACCATGCTTCAAAAAATTTTAGTAATCTTACCTGCATCGCTAGTTTATTGCCTGCATGGGAACCTCCATTGATAACATTGAATGCAGGTACAGGCAAGACCAAGGTCTTGTTGCCAGCAAGATTGGCAATGTGCTGCAAGTTAGAAGACACAAAAAGAGTGAATCTACAGAAAAATAATATTAGGTGACAAACCAAACAGGTCAATACAACAGTATGACACATTACCTGGTAGAGGGGAATTTTCTTCACCACGGCGCCGGCTTTACAAACAGCAAGTGAAACAGCCAAGATAGCATTTGCTCCAAGCTGAAATAATCATCCATTAGCTAATTAGGAAATTGCAATTAAAATAACCAGAAGACAAAGAAAAAATAAAAGAAAATAAGATACACCTTTTGTTTGCACCAACCCCATTCATTAACTGTTCCATCAAGCTGCTGTACCATGAAATTATCAATTTTTCCCTGCTCTGTTGGGTCCTGTGAACATAAGGATTAGCAAGATAAAACTCAAAACATTAATGATCTTCACACACAGCAAAAAAAAAAAAAAAAATCACAATTTAAAGTTCCATATAATACCTTGCCAACCAAAGCAGGTCCAATGATTGCATTCACATTCTTCACAGCCTAAACATCATCAAGATAATAAAACCATGCCAAACAGTTACAACTCCATCAATAAATATAGACGCACGCGCACAATGGTTATTGACATTCATGTTTTAATTTAACAAAAGCTTGTGAAATAGAATAACCAAAGAAGAAAGAAGAGTTGCAAATTTAACTCAAATCTATAATCTACACAACAATGGAAAAAAGAAAAAGAAATTACCTTAAGCACACCCTTTCCAAGGTAGTCAGACCCTCCATCCCTCAATTCCAGAGCTTCATATGTACCTTTCAGAGTAAACAAGGAGCGAGTAAGTGACCACATAGCATCGGTACAGATTCAGTTTTTCCATTTTTAACGATAACTAACAAAATTATAAATAAATTAAATAAATGCATTCAACTAAAACAGATAATAGTAAAATGTAAGAGAGAATAAAATTACCAGTGGAAGCACCACTTGGCACAGCAGCTCTTGCTACGGTCCCATCAGAGAGAGTAACATCAGCCTGTTAAATTTTTCATGCAACTCACACTTATCACTCAACTCAAAAAAAAAAAAAGTTACACTACGAAACACTTAGTTTCTCTTCAACCAAATAGAGCCATATGAAAAACGATGATTAAAGGAAGAAAAAACCAAACAAACACAAAAGAAATGTATATGCTAGTAGAAATATAAATCGGACGGCTAAAATGAAATCAACAACTTACTTCAACGGTGGGGTTTCCACGACTGTCGAAGATCTGACGGGCTTTGACAGACCTGATCGTAACCATTGTTTGGTATTTTTTTTATTTTTATTTCGATATAAACGAGGTTCGTCTTTACTACCACTCGAGTTTCGTTTCCTTCCCCAGAGAACTGAGTAAAGTGAGAGCTGCTCGGAGGGGAAAATATATAAAAAGGGATAGAGGAACCGAATGCGGGCCGTTGATCGTGGAAGTTGGGTAATATCGTGGACGGTGGAGATGGTTTTCTTGTCGATTTTTTGGAGGGCCATAAAAGTACCATAGCAAAAGTAATAAAACGAATTACCAAATTCGAGAAGTGAGGGTAAAACTGGAATTTTAACGAGGCGTCGCCATGAAAAGAAGTGATTCTAGCGCCCATGGTTCGATTAAACCACGGCAGCTCAAATGGTTTAGAGGCTTTTGGGTTTGGAGCGTTAATTGTTTTTCTTCGTGATCATGGTACTCTGAAAACTAGTGAGAAAGTGAAGTTCCTTGTAACAGCAACAAGTCCAGGATTCATAAATGTGTTAAATAATTATGTTCAATTGTCTTTTCTTTTTCTCTCTATCATTTGCGTGTCGTTCATGTTACTATTACGAAATTTCTTTTTAATATTGAATCTTTACCTCTCTTTTCACTTTATTAAAAATAATTTTTTCAGAAAGAAAAAAAATATTTTATTGATGTTATAAATATTTTTATAAATATCTATTTATATAATTTATATCTAAATTTGATGTAAATCAAATTATATTAAGATATAATTTATCTAATCTCTAAATATTATCTTCATCTTGTAAAGAGACACTTCAATAAGATTTTTTCTTTTTCTCTAAATACTTTTTCTCTTTAAATACTTTCTTTTATATTTCTCTTATAGTTACTCTTTTAGATTTATTTCATAATAATTGAAACATTTTTTAGATATAAAATAATCCATTTTTTCGCTAAAAATTTTCTTATAGCATTAACCTCAATAATCAATAGATAAAACATGAGTATCTATCCAAGGTTTTTCTATCGTTGAGACAAACAACATAAAGAGCAAACGTTTCATTCAAAATTTCCTATTTTCTTTCAGCTGAAGCAAATCAGTCTTTCTGCCAAAACTTGTCATCACGACTTCCCTCACAGTCACACCATTCAGAATTGAGACAGACTATCGGATGAACTTGTGAACTTGCAAGACAATCAAAGATTGTTTTCTCATTCCTTCTTTTCCGGCTCAAGGTAACTCAAAGCAGTGAAAAACCTTTTCCAGGGCTTGGGAGGTAAGAAAAAGAGTAGGCTAATCAGCGAACTCCAACCAACTCAACATCAAACTCGAGCCATGAATTTGGAGGTATCCTGCTGCCAGCACCCTTAGAACCATAACTGCAATAACAATTGCAATTAAACATGATCAAGATTGCCAGTTACAAGAAAGGTACACAACATTGTACGACCAATTTACATTAATTGAAGTATAATGCAGGTACTTAAGAAATAAAGAATAGCATACCCCATGGATGGTGGAATTATGAGTTTTCTTTTATCCCCAATTCGCATGCCTGAGGTCAATATACGTTCAAGAAATATTTATATATAAATGCTTCAAAATGGAATTAGGAGAACAAGGATAACCAAAATTCAAAAAAATTTTGACAATTTTCAAAAAAATTTACCTTCGACCCCAACATCCCATCCTTTAATGACTTCTCCTACACCTATTAAACCAAAGCAAAATAATTATACGTAATTAACTACTCAAAAATTTTGCCTCCAAAAAGATATCAAGTTCTGGTAATTCATAAGTCTTATGCTTGTACCTAGACGAAATTTAAAAGGGGCCCTTCCCACATTGGAATCAAATATTTTTCCATTCTTCTTGAGCTTCCCAATATAGTGGACACTAACCTGAACCAAATGAACAGACTTGCGTAAGAATCTCCAACTAAATATTAATTATAACATACATGCATAACATTAATACACAACTCATCTTGACATAAAATATAGTTCAAAATCATATCACATGAATAATTGAGATCTATTCCGAGGTATTCAGGCTCCATTACCTTTTCAGGCAATCTCCTATCCATTCCCTTACTTGAGAAAATATCCATAATATGATGAAAGCATTTTCATGATTGCAGGAAAAAATAAAGCACTAATGTATTTTTTGTCAGTGGGGGAAAACTGACCAACTGAAAACTTAATGCACAAGGAATAACCTGTTTCCCACGAGATGCTCTTTTACCATCGGGTTTGCCCATTGCTAACTCCTCAATGACCAATCCATTTGGAAAGGTTCTCACTTGAGAAGACTTGCCAGCAGTTTGCTTCTCTTCAGACTTCAAAGTGGAAGTATCCTTATCTCTACCTTGTGAAACTGCTGCATTTGCATCCACTCGATTCTCCTGGGCACTCTTCTTCTTTTTTTTCTTTTTCTTCTTCTTCTCGGCATGGTTCTCACCAGGCACATTGTCTGCATCTGAATCAAGGACCCTGCCATGCAAACGGTAACATTTTTGGGTAACTAACATATAACTTTAGCTAAGGGCGACATCTAGCATCAGCCTACCATGCAAATCAGAATCTATGCATTTGACATAATAAGTCACTTCCAACTTTCCACCACTTCAAAAGTTTGGATATGTCTATCATGAAGTACCATTGATTATTAAGCCAGCTCTTCCAACTTATGTAAAGCTCGATCAACAGATTAAGAAGAAAGTTTCTCCTCCCTGCCCTGTTTTATCCAAAAGGTTTTAACTTACACCTAATCAGTATACTTGATCTTAATACACATTAATTTATGACTTTTTTTTATTGTGAAGGGTTTATAAAGAAAATCTCAACAAGTAAATTTACATGCATGTGCATATATATCCACAGGCACACTCTGTCTAACTACAGTCATATCTCTCCATGAATACACAAAAGCAGGAAACAGTTCTCACATATCATTGGATGGCTGATCATGTTTGTTTCCAATAGGCAAAACCTGCTCTGGATCCTGGCTCTCTACCTTCAGAGGCTGAACTTCGTCCTGCAAACCATTGATGTTATCTGTACCCTTTTCTTTTTGCTGCTTCTTCTTCTTCTTCTTTTTCCTAACAAGGTTTTCATAACCATCTCAAAGATCAATGGATTTAGCATATTATTAGCAACTTAAGTGCCTGAATAATATACTTAATAGAACCAACTAACCAAGTTCAGGAAAGACTGTTAAGTTGAAGGCCATCTCACCTTTCTTGTAGACCATCTTCATCAGTTCTTTTAACTTTTCTTTTCTTTTCACTACCATCTTTTGTTGGCTTCTTGTCTTTTTCAGCTGTTATTTTTTCTCTCTGTTTCTCTGTTTCTGGTTGAGGCTCTTGAATAGCATCTTCACTTTTATGTGAAGCAGAAACTGGAAAGCCATCTTCATCTTCACTTTCCAAAACTGTTACACCAGCACCTCTCTTGACAACAAGCTGCTGCTGGGAGTTGCTTCTGTCCTCAAAGTCCATTGATTTATTCTTTTTCTTCAATCGTTTAGATTCCACATTTCCATTTGTAGGTTTGTGATCATCCACTATCTCCTCAATTACAACTATAATTAATTAAAAAAAAAAGAACAGTAAGCAAAAAGCCTGTCAAGTACCAGTACCAATGTACATGGAATAATGAACGTGTACAAAAACCTGAGGCATTATTTTCAGAAAATGGGCAGTGGATCAATAAAGTGAAATAATAAATTAATCTATTGGTAAACGCTCTCATAATGTACTTAAAACATAAAAATTTCACCACAATTTTCCCTGTCAACCACTGAAATGATATTTTTAAAGAAAGCAGCTGAATCATTTATATTTACTAATTTTCATCTACCAAATAGTTCTTAAATCTTCCTTTGTTACATTGATTTTAGCTAATACTTTCCATTGTAACAATCTTTCTTTTCTACACCCAGGGCCATGTTCTACACACTTTACAAGTTTTAAACAAAAGAAAGCTTCTCTATATTTCAAGAAAAGGCCAAACTTCTGCAGTGACGTCAACTTTAACCAAAACTTAAATTTGTTCAAAACAAACCCAAATACCTGAACCAGTCGATCAAAATTTAGGGAACAAGTGATTGTAACAATTTTTTTTTTCTATCCCAAGGGCTATGATCTAGACACTTTGATAGACAGGTTTTAAACAAAATAAAGCTTCTCTAAATTTTCAAGAAAAGGCCAAACGTCTGCAGTGATGTCAATTTTAACCAAAACCTCAATTTGTTCAAAACAAACCCAAATTCCAGAGCCAATAGGTCAAAATTTTGGGGTCAAGACTACACTACTTCAAACCATGTTGGCCATACATTACTTCTAGGTCCTAGCCAATATAAAATTATTAAAAAATTAAAAGAAATTTCCTGTGGAAGGTTGCAGATTTGATACACATAGTACGAAAAGGAACATGTATGATCCAATTTCTAGTTAGTGAACTCCAGTTAAGCTATCAAAGTGCCAAATACCTCCACTATTTGGTACAGGTGAAGGTGGAAAAAATTCAAGATCATCATCATCTATGAAGTCATCTTCATACTCATCTTCAGAATCATAATCAGAGGACTCATCTTCTGACTCAGTCTCAGCAATATCCTCCCCATAAGAATCACTTCATAATGTAGTAAAGAAATTAAAACTAGCAATGTTTCAACCATATTTGGAGTTCTAAATAATTCAACCATATTCTCAGTTCTTTTATGAAACTTTAAGCAAAACGGAATACGCAAATTCAAGTCACTAAAACCAGAAAGATAAATAAAAGGATACGATTCATATTCATCTCTTAGGTGATCTCCATCAGCGGCAACAAAGTAACCAGAGAGGTGGATGCTTCGTGGGCCAATTACTGAAAAAGCGACTAAATCATCATCTTCATCAAATTTAAGATCTAAGGAGCAAGTCTCATTCTGATTTGGCAACAAGGAACACAAGATATTTGGGCTCTTGTGTCCTACAGAACACTGAAGTACAGCCCTCTCTGTAGATGATCCAAGGCCTAAAGTTGCCTGAGTTATCACATAAGATAGATTAACAAAACTAATTTAGAAATCCAAAAATGATTTGGAGAAGCAATTCAGAGAACTAAGCCTAAACTCTAACAAACCATAGACTAATATATGCTAAGTAAACGGTTCAACTTCATTCCATTCCATACAGACAATCACTCCACTAAAGAAGGGCCAGAACCTCAAAGCAACTCATAAAGGCGCATTTAAACTACAATCAACATTACCACTACATTAATTACCATTTTTATAAAAGAAAATAAATTCCAACATAAATCAATATTCAAAAAATCAAAATCAAAATCAATTTTTTTTCACTTCCAATTTCTGAACCAGGAGAACATACCTGAGTAATGTGAAGCTTTCCCCGCACATTGTCGGAGTGATAAGGGTGCGGTTTTCCAGGTTTGACTTCAATTCCTGATAAAAAAAAATAGAGGGTTATGAGAACAAATTGAGAATTTCAGGAATAAACAAATACTAATACTATTAATGCCCCGTTTGATTACTGGAAACTTGCAGGAAGATGATAATGAAACTTGAGATTTCCTTTCAAAACATCTACGTCGATCCAAGCCCATTATCATAGTTCGATTTGCAATTTGCTTAGTCCCTACAGTTTCCAGTAACCAAACACATCGAAAATGACATTTAAAAATGAAAATTGTAAAAAATTTAAAGCGAAAACAAAAGGGTTTTGCCCAAGATAATAGAAGAACTGACCCCAGAAACCCATTTCTTCCGAATGGAGAAAATTTTGGTCACGAAAAGCAGCTATTTCCAAAACCCTAGAGGGTTTTTCGCTTTAGGATTTTTAAAAAACCCTAACGCGACCGTTATCAGGTTCGGAATGGTACATGAGATATTACGGAAAACGTATGCAACCAAGTATGAAGAGGTGACACGTGGACCTTGTCCCAAGCCTCAAACTGTTGTGCAAGTCCTATAGACCACCAAGTACTAGTGAACAAAAATTAGTTCGGTTCGGTCGGTTTTCGGTTCTGTTTTTGATAAAATTAATAAAAAAATTTTAAAATTTTAGCTGATTGAATGGCATAAGACGTAAAATCGATTACAGTCGATTTTTAAGAGTCTTGGTTTAGTTGGTTTTTTAAGAGGAGTTAACTTTAATTTGGTGGTTGCTAGTTTCGGTAGAAGTACGAGAGGGAGTTAGGGAGAGGCAAAAAAGGAGTGGACGGGGAATTAGGTCAGGGAAAAGGGAAACAATTGCAGGGGTATAGAGGATAAGGGCTGCTTTAGGAGTTTAATAAATGGCACTTTTATCTTTTTCACTCCTCCTAAAAAAAAATAATCGTCGTTTATTTGGTTAGTTCGGAGGAATGAGTCTCCTGACGGTCAAGCCGATTGGTCAATAAGGTAAATCAAAACAACCGACGGTTGCAATAACAACCGACCGCTACATAATCCTACCTCCAAGTAAATCTTTCTTGAATGTAATAAATAGAATAAGTACTTGATGGATACTATATACAAAAACTCAAATGGTTATAATCTTAAAAATATATATAAATATTTTTAAAAGAAATGATTGAATTTTATATAGTAGTGCTTTGATGATTTAATTAAGTACATTATAAGAAATGAACATTACAATGTAAAAACAATTACATTACATTTA